AGCAGTTTTCGAGATGGAGAGAACTGGATCAGATATAGACAGGGATACTCAGCTCGAGCGGCCTAAAGTATTTGCTTCCCCAAAGTAAGTTCTTGTTTTGTGTTATCCTTGCCATCTAACCCCTGTCATGATTTCCATGTTTGAGTCGTCAAAAGTAATATATTTCATAAGTTGGTGCATTCGTTTCGAAAGGTCTGTATTTGCTACTATGATCTTTTCATGCAAATGCTTTTCATGAAAATTCTAAGACGATTGATTTGGTAATTACTGTATGGATTCAAATACTTGCAACATTCCGACCACACCATAATGATATAATACTTGTATACCAATGTACCAATGATATTGGTTGGTACCGACACACTGAATATTTTCTGTAATTTTATGGTGTACGAGGCACACCATATTTTGAGACTCTTCTATCTATAGGTACCAATATTGGTATTTTGAGCCGGGAGACCACTTTTCCAAACATCTAAGCTAGTGGGAAAGCTCCAAGCTTATTTATAAGCTTAAACATCCCTTTCATGTATATGCCAGATGAAAGATTGTTGGACTTAGCATGTTAATGCGATTTAGGATACAAACTCATGATTTGCTTTGATACCATGCTAATACAAGTAGTTGGATGTACTGCCACTTTTCCAATAGCTTAGATTAGTTCGGAAGGAGCTAATTTATATTATATAAGCCCCACAATGTGCACCCTTATAACTAGGAAATTAGAATATCTAGGGAAATCAATACACTTGACAAAGGGCAAAATTGAGAAGTGGTTTTACTAAAAAAATGAGATAACAAAAAATAGAATTTCTTAGTATGTTTTGGGCATTACAAGTAGATTTTCTTTGTAGTACCCAATTGAGTGGGAAGGGAGTCCGAGTTGGAGGTGTTATATGGCACATATGAAGACCAAAGAAGTTTTTGAGTAATTCGGGAAAAGGTGTTGCCCACTCTGATTAAAGGAATGATCCCTATTCTAAGCAGAATGTCTGACAAAGTTTTTTAATTACTTTCAGGTTTTAGAATTATTAAAGATCTTTGTTAAATTAAACTGACAATGTTTATGATGTAATGCATATGATGGAATTTCCAGATACTTGAACATAAACTCGTGTTGCCTAGTTAATTGAGTTTCATGTGTGTTTCTTGGTCATTGTCCCAGCAATTGAGATTTCAACCCTTTAAGAAGTTTCTCTATCACAACCTATTCCTCATTTACTTCGTTGATGCTGTTTTGAATCTTATACAGCCCAAGCATGATGACTTGAAGGGAACAGATTAATTCTTTTCTCTCAGAAGAAATTTCTCAGAAGTCTTCAAGTTTCAGAGGTCCAATATGCATACCCTTCTGTACCGTAAGACTTCAGGTCCTCAAACCAGAGACTCTCTTGAGTTTCTTCTCTATTGGCATTTCCATGCATGGTGAACCAACCAGAAAAATGAATCATATCCCACAAGAAGGAATTTGTCGTCACCACAAATCATTTTTTCATTGTCTTCAAGAACTTCTTTTGTTGGAGAATCGCTGCTATTTGCAGCTTGAATAGAGAACAAACTATAAGGCAACGTGGGCTTGATTATTTGGTTTTTGTGCTCGACAAAATCATGGGTTAGTCACTTTCGACAATGCTTTAGTTGTCACTCTTTATGGAGACATGTTATTGTTGCATCTTCCTCCGAGATGCTTAAACTTACATTAGTTGTGACTCTTCTTCTTATCTTGCAATTTCCACAATGAACCACAGCCTCTTCTTGATTTTGAAGTCTACATCATCTTACCATCCAATCCCATAGTAGGTACTTATCAATTTTACCTCTCCATGCTAATCATTATTAGTTTTATTTATAGGCAATTTGGATCTTGTAGACTTAAATACAGTGAACTTTGCTATCTAAGCTGAAATAATACTGAATGGCATAGCAGCTCTTTGGTCAAAGCAGAGTTCCAGGCAGGAGATTGCTCCGACATGGGCAAGATCACTCTAAAGGAGCTTCTCAGATTAGATATATCCTCTCTGCATAATATTGTTTTTTTTTTGTACCCTTTCCGTTTACAAATAAATTATAGACCATTTGCAGGCTTTGAAGGCATCTTTCAACACTTTTGCTGAAAGCGATCTTTCCTAATCGACCATACACTTTATGCAGAGTCATAATCAGTAATTCATGTCTTGTTTCTGTGGTCAACACCCTGCGAGTCATGTGAGTGGCTTGCTGTCAATTGGCATTGACGAATTTTTTTTAATATAAAATTAACTATTACTTATTAAAAAACTATATGCATATTCGGATTGTATGCTGCGAGGAGATGTGCTTCGATATTTATATTTCTCGAAACATGAAGAAATTTAAATACTTTGACTTTCCTTTGATATGGATTTTGTAATAATGATATAAGTGTCAAGTTTGCCTTATCGATATAATTTGTATATATTTTTTGAGTTTGAGCGTATTTGAATATTTTGGATTCCAAGAGAATAAGTTTTAAGAAAGTCTTTAGTCGAAGTTGTCGGTAGCACGACGACAAGCTCCAATAGTAATTATCATTCTTCTATCTAAAATTTTGTAAATCTCAAATTAGACGTAAAAGCTTTTATTATAATTAGTAATATAGTTAAAATTATGAGACAGTAATGAATAGTTTAAATTAGTATTAGTAGTCATCCCCTCAATAATGTTTCTATAAAGAAATAAATTAGATGCGATAGTGAAGTAGCAATGAAGCTGAGAATGGTTGTAGGGAATTAGAAGAAGAAATCTCAAGAAATAGGAAGATGATCTCAAAACATATTTCAAAAAAATATTTTAATTTTTAGGTAAACATTTAAATCGCACGTCAATATTCCTCTTCCTTCAATTCCTTCTTTTTTCGATAATTGATAAGTGTTTTTAGAGTACACGATAGCCGATTATAAGTGTAGAACCGAACTCTCGACTTTAAAAAATAGAATTGAAGTAGTTGAATCTTATATATAATGATAGAGGTAAAGGTACCATTACCTAAATTTTTTATTTTTTTCTTTCGTACAACTTTATTGCCCATCTAATTCATTCCTATGCGCCTTTAATCTCGTATCGATAAAACCAGTTGTTTAATGAAATTTTTATCACCAATCTAATTCATTTCTTACCCTTTATCGATAATTTTTATCACCAAGCTTTGTCATTTGAAATAAAAATCCAACGATCGAGTTGCTTGTAATATGAATTTTTTTTTTTTTAACAAGGATTGGATGAAAACAATCTTATTGTGTTAAGGAATTCTAGAATGATTTTTAAAGAAGTTAGATATCAAAAAGTAGGTATTTAAGGTGTTTGGATTGATATATATTAGCAATTCATAGTTCTTAGAGGCAAAGATATTTGATCCTATAGTCATCTACTTTTTGATACCTAATTTGGGGTTGCCAAATAAGAGAAAATAAAAGCTTCCAATTAGCAAATGATTGAGTGTTTTATTTTAAATCTCAAGAGTTATCTTATCATTATTATTAATAAGGATTTTGTCCTATGAAATGAATACATTTTTGACAGTGTGATGCTGAATACCCAAACCATCATTTTATTATTTTAATTATTATTCTAAAAAAACTATTTGGATATTATTGAGAATCTGTTTAGACATTTCATGTTCATAAGAAAATGAATAAGAATCGAATTAACAGCAGAATTGATCTTTGACTGAGAGATGAGACAACATTTTGGCAAATAAAATTCTGATTTAATCTGTATCAATGTTCCACTGAGTTTACTTACACATGCCCGCCCACAACTTACATAGATCTTCCATCGAGCACCTATAGATTGAGATTCTAATACAATATCTCTTTGTCAACGTTGGTCAACGGACGTTCTACAGTTGTCAACGCAGGTCGACGGACGCACTGAGGATGCAGATCAAAGTCACACAGGCTGCACCTGCAATGAATTCCTCGCACCGGCAACTGGCAACCGTCGCAGAATCTTTGGCCAAACGGGTGGGGCGTCGACTGCGGCGACAGCCGGTAATGCAAGCACAGTTCTTGTGGAGGTCGAAGTCGCTGGCGTCGCAGCGGTAGTGGGAGCCGAAGCCGGGGCACCGACAGCATCCGGAACAAGGGTCGCTTCGGCCCTGTCCATCGCTCTAGCTCTTCGCGCCCGGGAAGGAGAAGAGATCACAGGTATTTATAGACTCGGGAGAGGGAAGCAGCAAAGCAAGCACGTTTATCGAATTCATTTATTGCGACGCCGCTGATGTCAATGGCGGCGTTGACTTTTTTTTTCGGCAGTGAATGCGTCTCTTGACTTGGACGTCGTCTTCGCGTGGAACACGTCGGTCACCTCAGCTGGACTTCTGATCTCGGACTATATTCTTCTGATTCATCGAATCATATTTCTCATGCTTTATCTAAAAACGGACGAGCAAACAAGTGTTTTTTGGATTCCTAAATGAATGATATGATGAGCATCGGATGATATCTCCCAAGAACAGACGAATTCATTCATTGAGAGCCACCGATGTCAGTGACGGCGTTGACATTTTGGTCGTCGTCTTCGCTGGAACTCGTCGTTCATCTCATGTTAGCTTTTGATCTCAGACTATCTTCCGATTTCATCAAATCATAATAATATTTCTCATGCTTAATCCAAAACGGAGGAGCTCACAAGTGTTTGTAGGATTCCTAAATTAATGATATATTAATTTATTTGTTTATTTGAAGGTAGACCGACCTCCTTCGCCTCGGGATCATATCTTCCCTGCTTCGACTAGATCGGGCAACTCCTAATTCTATCTTGCTCTGCCCCCCACGTGTCAGCTTAGGTAGACCCAATCGGGGACGGTTGGGGAGACAGGGAAGCAGGAACGGGATGGTGGAGCCCGCATCTTCCGCCGAATCGGGAAGGGCGGTTCCGTGTTTGGTAAACTGATCGGTCCACTCAACAAATGTTGGATCCCTTCCGCTACATCCTCACAGTTAATGAATTATATACTTCTTAAAAGGGAATAAAAAGAGAAGAAAAGAAAAAGAAAAGGACGCGAGAGCGAAGGAAGCGAAGCGGCGAGAAAATCGAAGAGGGGGAAGAAGAGAGAACTAATTCGCAGCTATATATATGTATTAAATATATGTAATCGTAATTTCCGATCCACTTTCCTTCCGCTCGAGCGGCCTCGACGACACAAGGAACTCGTATCAAACCGCTGCGGACTTCCTCTGATTTTTCCAAGGTAGAAACCCTAATTTTCTTGCGCGAAATCGAGAAAGATTTCGTCTTCCGATCGTTTTGATGAAGTAAAGGTTCTTGGGAGTTAAAAGATCGGTCTTTTTAAACGATTTTCTTAGTGTTATCTGAATGCTCGAGATCGAGAAAGATCGCGCCGTTCCGTCGTGTTGATTGACACTAAGGTTCTTGGGAGGAAAAAGATCGCTTTTTTTTTTGACGATTTTTTCGTGCTTTTTTGTTTTTTTGAGGGCGTTTTGATTTCAGGGCTCCGATCCATTGGGATTCAAGTGTGGGGTTAGGGTTTGCTGGTACTTGGACCCAAGGCTGGAATTAGGTTTCTCTTCGTGCGCTAATTTTTTTCTTTTTCGTGGTAGTCTTTGGATTTTGACTAGGGTTAGGGTTTTCCTTCGGCACGACTGCTTGAGGGCCTACGTGCCGTTGCGGGATGGCGGACGGTAGGATGAAGGCTGTCGCTGATGATGATGAAAGAAGGGATGGGGACGATGAGGTCGGGCGGCAGGATGATGACGAGGCTGAAGAATTTGAGGAGCTGGAGCTTGGACTTTCTCTGGGGCGTTGGGGATGGAATTCAGGGCTGACGAATGGTGGCAGGGATGATGGCGGAGAGCGCGATTGTGTCCTTCCGGTGGAGAGGGGCATCGGGTGCTCATGGTTTTATGAGAGACAGTCAGCTACCAGGCATTTCATCGCAAGACAAACAAATTTGAGGACATGGGGGGAGGAACTGGTGGGTGCAGTAGCTATGCCTCAGGAAAGAGATGTTAGCCTGCCAGATGAGGCATTTTTCGAGATGGAGAGAACTGGATCAGATATAGACAGGGATACTCAGCACAAGCGGCCTAAAGTATTTGCTTCCCTGGAGTAAGTTCTCGTTTTTTGTTATCTTTGTCATCTGTATCAGTTAAACTTTTAGTTTCTGATACATCTAACCCCTGTCATGATTTCCATGTTTGAGTCGTCAAAAGTAATATTTCATAAGTTGGTACATTCGTTTCAAAAGGTCTGTATTTGCTACTGTGGTTTTTTCATTCAAATGCTTTTCATGAAAATTCTAGGACGATTGATTTGGGAACCACTGCATGGATTCAAATGCTTGCAACATACCAACCGCACGAGAATGATAAAATACTTGTATACCCGTGTACCAATGATATTGGTTGGTACCGACATACCAAATATTTTCTGTAATTTTCTGGTGTACGAGGCATACTATATTTTGAGATTCTTCTATAGGTACCAATATTCGTAGTTTGAGCCGCGAGAGCACTTTTCCAGACATCTAAGCTAGTGGGAAAGCTCGAACATTATGTGTAAGCTTAAACATCCCTTTCATGTATATGTCAGATGAAAGATTGTTGGACTTAGCATGTTAATGCGATTTAGGATACAAACTCATGATTTGCTTTGATACCATATTAATACAAGCAGTTGGATGTACAGCCACTTTCCCAACAGCTTAGACTAGTTTGGAAGGATCTAATGTATAATATATAAGCCCCACAAAGTGCACCCTTATAACTAGGAAATTAGAATATCTAGGGAAATCAATACACTTGACAGAAATGCTTTTACTAAAACAAAGAGATAACAAAAATAGAATTTCTTAGTATGTTTTGGGCATTACAAGTGGATTTTCTTTGTAGTACACGATTGGGTAGGAAGGGAATCCAAGTTGGAGGTGTTATAGGGCACATATGAAGACCAAAGAAGTTTTGAGTAATTAGGGAAAAGGTGCTACCCACTCAGATTAAATGAATGATCTCTATTCTATGCAGAATGTCTGACAAAGGTTTTCAATTACTTTCAGGTTTTAGAATTATTAAAGATCTTTGGTAAATCAAACTGACAATGTTTATTATGTAATGCAAATGATGGAATTTCCAGATACTTGAACATAAACTCATGTTGCCTGGTTAATTGAGTTTCATATGTGTTTCTTCATTGTCCCAGCAATTGAGATTTCAACCCTTTAAGAAGTTTCTCTATCACAACCTATTCCTCATTTACTTCGTTGATCTTGAACCACTAGACAAAAATGCTTAAACGCAAATTAATAATATACCCATTATACCCTAGTTGACTTCTTATGTGACTAAATTGGATATTAATTGTAACAACCAAGTTTAGTTTGATATTGAAAGTGGGAAAAAAATTGAATTGACTTTTAGGTCATATGGGTCTATTACTATTAGCTTGAGTTTAAACATTTTGGATCACTGGTTCAGGTTCAACGAAGTAAATGAGGAAGTTATTCCATCAGATCGGATCTTGATAGATTGGTATTGGACATGCTGAGAGGCTAGTGTTAAAAAGAACCATCCATCGACGAGGTGAAGGGCATGACGTGAATCCGCTCAAGGCCTCATGTACATCATGCTACGGTCTGATTTAGGTCTACGATTGCGTCTCGACGAGGACGTGAAGCCCTTAAGTGAGGGAGTTTGTAACATCCCTGGTTAGTCTCACATCGCATGTGAAATGGGTAAAAATAATCTCACATTGGAAATGAGTAAAGATTTGGATTGATATAATAGTCCAAGAATGCTACTATTAACTTGGGTTTAAGCATCTTGGGTCACTTATCCTAACAGATTGAGCATGGTATTCTCACTTCAATTTGGTTGATTTTATATGGTATCCTTCTATCTCATTTTTTGTTCTAGGATTTATGACTATCGTACTGCTTTTTATTATTTACTTGAAGATTGTGATTAAACAATTTTACAACTATTATGCACTAACGACAAACCTCTCATAATTATGCTATCCAAGTTTCAATATTTTTTAATCTGGAACCTGCTCCCTGTTCCTAATACATCCTTCCTCTCATACTGAGTAATTTGTTTCCCTTTCAAATTTCCTTCTTATAAAAGGTCCCCCTCACTAATATTGCATTTGCTAAATAATGTATTTCTTTTTCCATGTCCTGTGAACTTCTGAGAGATGCCTTTTTTCTTTAACTCTAGTTTCTCAGTAACGTGCTTCCTTCTAAGGCACTCCTATGCGAAAGCTCCCCTTTCTTTATTATTGCCTTTGTCAACTGATGTGTTTCTCCAGTCTTATTAACCTCTGAGATACCTGTGCTCTTTCTGTTGGTGACGTTGTAAATCACAAATTTATTTAAGTGGATATCTCAGGAGATTTCATGCCTCCTATTTATTATGGTTAAAATATGTCATTTGATGGCAGAGGATGGTTATGAACAAGGTCTCATCTTTGATCCGTTAGGAGTTGGATTTTCACCTTAATGTGACTTTATGACTAGTTCATCTTTTATTTTGTGTGTTTCATGCAGGTTTCCATCTTCCTCAGATGCTGAAGTAGCTGGTCAACCTGCAGTTGTCGATTTTATGTCTCAAAATTCATCAGCATTGTCTGAAAATGAGGTGGCATACTATTTGAACCTTTTTCCTAATGATGATGCTGTTGGAAGGACTAGTGACTTTAATAACGGGGGAAGTTCTTATGAAGATATGTCAAGTATGAGAAACACTGAAGATCTAGAAATTAGGATGGATCTTTCAGATGATCTATTGCACCTGGTATGTCCAACCTAACCATTTGATATTTATGGTTGCTGTTGATTGCTTACAAGTATAAACATTCATTTGTATGATTTTCAGATTTTCTCTTTTCTGGGCCAAAAAGATTTATGTAGAGCGGGAGCAACCTGCAAGCAATGGTTAGTGGCTAGCACACATGAGGACTTTTGGAGATGTTTGGAGTTCACGAGCACAGCAATCTCCCCGCAGAACTGTATGAATTCTAATATAGTGTTCTTAGTACAATTTGGCAATCATTTGCATCATTAATTGAGAAAATCTGTGACTGCAGCATGTGTTTATTTTGTGTTATTTCTGATGCACAGTACAAATGGCTGTTGCAGCAGTTATTTGACGAAACTATCAGTAAAATTAATTTTGATCACCTTTTGTTAGTTTGAATCTGACCAAATCTTTGCTGAATATCCTTGGGGTGCTTGCATACCATTGCTAATATTCTTGGGGCATTTGCATAGCATCACAGTGGAAATCAGATCATGCATATTTGACTGTGTGAAACTTGAAATTGATAATTGATTGCTCATAAATTAGATTCTTTCAGATGTATTCTTTTTAGTTTCAAGGTCATGTAGCCAAGAACTGAGCATTTAATAAATGAGGGCCGTTAAAAGTGCATTTGATTAGAATCTAAGTACCATAAATTATAAGTATTGTGGGGCATATGTGGGCCTTGATGTTCTTGATCAACAATAGAAAGAACAAACACTTGCTAGCTGTAAATTTGATTTACATATTGATATCTAACATTTCTATTCGAACATATCAATAAATCATATCACTGCTATGGGATATGGAGAATTCAATACTCCGCTAATGACCTTACCGGAGATGTCATGTAGAGACCAAACCCCAGGGCATGAAGATGATTCCGTGGACAATCCATCATCCAAATGATAGTGTTATTTGCGACATCCTGTTGTACAACTTTTCGCTGAATGTCCAAGTTAAGTGTAGATTTGGAAACCGCAATGAGCGGTGTGAAACGTCATCCATCTCAACACCTTGGAATCCCTCGGGTGGCACAGGGTTGGATGGGGCTTTCGGATAGTAGCGTAGGTGCCGCCTCTCGCTTCGCTCACTGTCCGCCGCTCACCGCTCGCTCGTGCGGCCAGAAATGACCAGTTTTGGCCTATTTTTTGGGCCGTTTTCATGTGCTGTGGCGAACGCAGCGAGCGGTGCGAAACGTCAGCCATCTCAACACCCTAGAATCCCTCGGGTGGCATAGGGCTGGATGGGGCTTTCGGATAACAGGGAATGTGCCGTCCCTCGCTTCGCTCGTTGTCTGCCTCTCACTTGCGCGGCTAAAAATGGCCTGTTTTTGGGCCGTTTTTGCCTGCTGCGGCGACCGCGACAAGCGATGCGAAATGTCAGCCATCTCAGCACTCTGGAACCCCTCGGGTGGCACGGAGCTGGATGGGGCTTTCATATAACAGCCATCTCAGCACTTGGGTATTAAATGAGAAATAGTTCCCAAATGGATGTACAGTGGGACAAGGTCAAGACTTAAGGACTTTCCTGATCTTAATCATGATGTACTGGGCCCTACCTTGGAAGCTGATACTGTCTTGGATCCATTATATAAACTAGCGATTATGACGATTGTGTGATGCTTGTGATATATATTCAGTACAATATTCATTATTAAAAATGAAGGGGAATGAGATTTTGATTAGCTGTGGAGACAACATGATACAAGCCCCTTTGGTTCTTCCATTATTTATACAGATTGCGCCTGCTAACTTTTGTCATCTCTTGCCTGATGTTGTAATGTGTATTCTTTCTATAATGGTCTTTATGCTTCATTTTATCTGCAAGCTTCAATAAAGGTGGGACAGTTTCTTACTTGTTATACAATAATCTAGCTTGTGTATATGAGTCATATTTCATTGTGAAAGATCGCAGCAATCCATGTTTTACTAGTGCTAGCTCCCTACGCATGATCCAAAATTTGATGGATCATCAAGGATTCAGCTGTATATGGAAATAAATGGGGCGTCATGATAATACAATTTGGACATCTAATGTACATTCATTAGAAATCCAACTTTAGATTTGATTAGCAAAAGAATAAAAAGAGAGCTGGAAGGTAGTTAGAAGAGACAGCTAGGAAGCTCTGGAAGTTGTATTATAAATCCACAGTGTGATATGGAGCTTCAAGACATTGACAACAATAGTGAGGTATCACTATTAATAACATTAATAGTGAACTGTATATTAACATTAATAATAACATTAGCAAAAGCAGCAACAGCAAAAAAAAAAGAAAAAAGGACAACAATAGTGAGCTGTATATTAATATTTGAGGTAGGCTACATGAATTCTTTCCTGCCATTGAGCACCGCAAAGGCATCACTATTAGTGAAGCCATTGTATGAAAGTAAAACTCTTTGTTCAGTGTTTTTGACTAGTAACAGCTAATGGCCATAACTAGTTCTTTCAATTCATTAGTCGGAATCTTGTCATGTCTTTTGGAAGCCTGACTTAGTGCTTGTATGAACTTCCATACTATCTTTTAGAGTCCGTTCTCGTTGCTGTGCTGATGCCTTCATTGACTTACAGTTATTGCCATATGTCGCCGATACCCAAATGCCATGGCGTTGACCATGGCTGACATTCTGAATTCCAATGCGCTTGTCATTGAAGCAATGGCTTCACTCAGGTTTAATTAAGTTTCATGTCCTTGAACGGGTGTTTATTCTTGCTACTACCATTTACTTTTTCTGTTCCTGCTGATGTATAAAAATGTGTACTTGTCCAGGCATCTTGGAACTTTGATCTTAAAAAAGGGTCAGTTTGGTGATCGGTTTTTCCATGCCTTGACGGATTGTCCTGCATTAACCAAATTGAGAATTCACGATGCATCTCTTGGCAATAACATTCAGGAGATCACTGTATATCATGATAGGTTACATGACCTTCAATTTGAGAAATGTCGGGTTTTCCGGATTTCTATCAGGTAACTGCACTGCTGATTAGTCATTATTGAGCATATTGTCGTGTGTCAACTATGTTCATGTAAGTTGGCTTGTTACAGATGCCCTCAGCTTCAAATATTGTCTCTCAAGCGCACCAGCATGGCACATGTTTCACTTAGTTGCCCACAGTTACGTGAACTTGATTTAACAGCCTGCCATAAGCTTTCTGATGCTGCGATTCGATCAGCTGTTACAACATGCCCCTTGTTGGGATCATTAAATATGTCATCTTGCTCATGTGTTACGGATGAAACACTACGTGAAATCGCTTTTGCTTGTCCAAACCTGTGCATTCTTGATGCTTCATATTGTCCAAATGTCTCATTTGAGGTTAGTTTTGTGAATCCTGATCGTCTGCTGCTGTAATTTATCCTAACTGTGGTGATTATGTGCTTACGTTCTTGTGCTTTTGTGGGAAGTCTGTAAGATTGCCAATGTTGATAGACTTAAAACTTGATAGCTGTGAGGGAATAACCTCAACATCTATGTCTGCATTATCGTATAGCCACATGCTGGAGGTTTGAACTTATTTCATTGTTTTCTTCTTTCAACAAATTTGTTTTATTTTTTTGTTGCTGCATTTACACCAAAATTCCTTATCATTTCAGGCATTACTGCTTGATAACTGTGGCCTTCTGACGTCTGTCTCACTGGATCTGCCACATTTGCAGTCTATTAGTCTTGTACACTTGCGCAAGTTAGACTCATTCTCCTGTCCTTTGCCTTCTTTAACTCCTCTCTCTTAGTGACTCTGTCTTTAGATCCTTTCCTGGGTTGTTTTCTTTTGTTGGATTCTAATTCTGCTAATGCTTTAGATTTGTTGATTTGAATCTGCGGAGTCCTGTGCTTCAATCTGTAAAAGTTTCTAGATGTTCGGCTCTTCACCGAATTAGTATTACATCAAGAGCAATTGACGTAAGTTTTTTTATTTCATGAGACTACTATATTACTGTCGCATTATTTTGGCTTTTTAGAAGTTTTATTAGATGTTGATTATTGTAATGCAGAAATTAGTATTGCAAAAGCAAGAAAGTTTGGCTACATTATCATTGCAATGCCACAACTTGCAAGAGGTGGACCTTAGTGATTGTGAATCTTTAATGAATTCTGTTTGTGAGGTGTTTAGTGACGGAGGTGGTTGCCCAATGCTCAGGTCATTGGTTCTTGACAATTGCGAGGTTTGCAGACATTTTGTTTCTTAACTACTACATGATTTTTGGTCCCCTCCTTTTATGGGTTTGTTTATTGATGTCTAGGGCCATGAATATGTTTTGCCCAATTCTCCAGTTCTCTGTTGTGATTTGTGCCGAGGTTTAATTGCTTTGGGTGCAAAGTTAAAGTGATTTTCCATTATGAGTTTGTTCAATTTCTTAAATAATAAAGGGTTGAACAGAGACAAGTACATGCTGGGTGTTAGATTCTTAAAGAAAAAAAAGCCTTTAATCTATTAGTTAAAGCAATAATCATGCTTCTGAATTCTGATATTGTCTCTATTAGACATATTTGAATCTTCTATATGTGGAACGGAAGTTTATATCCTATTGCCTTATTTTTTAACTCGACCAATCATTTCTCGGTGTGATCTCCCTGCACAGTGCGCTATGACCATCCATTGCAACTCAGCCTGATCAGCTTTAATCACATTATGGCTTGATCATAAATATTAGCAACCATATTGATTATTATTTCACACATACAACCATTGCTTCTGCTGCAGTGCTATATATTATATATCACTGTCCATGATGCCGAAAGCCTTGGTTTTTGCTGCTGTACTGACACACTGCATTAGTCCTGGGCCATATTGTCGGCAATATATTATTTCAAGTTTCCCAGTCCAAGAACTGAAATGTTTTCATGTTTTTGTTCATAATTGCTATCTTATTATGTTTTTGGCTTTCCAATGTTTTCGCATGTGAATTCTGTTATAACACTTTTGAAATGTGTGCTGAATTTATCTATTTCTTGATAAATTTTATTTTCAGAGGATAAGTGATGTTGGACTGAACAATAGTTCTCTATTGACTCTGTCTCTTGCTGGTTGCCATGCTATGACTAATCTTGATCTATCATGTCCAAAGCTTCAAAAAGTAAATCTTGATGGTTGTGATCATCTTGAGAGAGCTTCATTTTGTCCAGTAAGTTGGCTTCACATTTTCATTTAATATACTGGACATGTATACTGTGGTAAGAAGATAAAGGGTCGTGTAAAATTTTTTGTAGCTGTGGATAATATTCTTGGCTATTTGTGGCTAATTTGTGGGAGTTCATCTATTTAGCTCTGGGTGTTTCTCTACAAATATTCTTGTCCAGATATATGTTGTTAAGAGTTCTGGGACTTGTTGACTTTGAACAAATCTGCATATGATTCACTGTGAATTCTATGAATACTGATCTGCATATGTTTGACTAGTACTGGAGTGGACTTGGACGCTATGATGCTTCCTTGGAATATGTTCGCATATTGTGTTACTTGTGAATCACATCATTTTATTTTCTTAAAGAAAAAATGCTAAAAGAACAAAATGCTAACTGGACATTGTAATCATGAATGACTAAATTCTGCATATTGGTGCCTTTACTGTCACTGGATGGAATAGTATGTGCCACAACATGGTCTATTACATTATTGTGCCGGTACATGCAAATTACAAACTGAACAAAGAAAAAGAAAATATACAGTAAGGGATACAAAATTGATTCTCACATGCCTTCCTACAGACTCAAATTGATCTGACACATTGCATCTGAAGGAGGTTGGCATGATTATTGCTGATACTCTATCTTCACAACTCTTAATATTTGGATTTTTCAAAACCAAATCAGTTCTTACTGGACTAATGACCAATTCAAAACCTTAGCTGGTCATTTAATTGGATAAGAAACATTTTTGCGTTGCTTTCTTTATTTGTGATTCAGTTGTAGACTGCCACTTCCTGGTGTGCAGCAGAATATCAATTTATGGTGGACATTGTTTGCATTAATTCTTGAAGTAAAATGATGTAAATACAAAAACACATGGAGAAGATAGAGGCCTACCAGAAAATTGATTTCAGTGGGTAAGATTTAATTCAGAAATCCAGGATAATGATGGAAATCTTGGAACTGGATAGATAGGCAGTAAGAAATTAAGATGTAATCAGGGAAGGAACTCAGGCTTTTGACGGGTGACAATGTGAATGGAGAGAAAAAATATTATTTATTACTGGCCATTGAAACACACTGGTCCAAGTTACTTTGGAACACTTATCATATTGTTTTTTATGTCATGCTTGATTGTATTATTATTATTTTCATAATATTATGTTGCTAGCAGCATCTTAGTTTCTCTATATAAGCTGTCATCTGCATTTTGTTTCTATTTAGGAGTGTTATCTATGGTTGTTAAGTACAATAGTAGCAATAATCTTTTCCTTAATTACTTCTGCTGTAATTGATTTTTTTTATAGCATTTAAGTAAATTTTGCATTGTGCATAAACCTATTTGTATGTATTCAAGTTTGTGTATGTTAGTCAGCTGAATTATCTTTTAGAGTTTTTATTACTGTTATTTAATAAAACTAGAAATATTTCTTATATATAATTTGCTTGAGTACTGAGCACAATTTTATTTTAAGGTGGGTCTGGAGTCCCTTAATCTGGGGATCTGTCCAAAGCTAAATGTTCTTGTTATCAAAGCTCCAAAAATGTCACTGTTGGAACTTAAAGGTTGTGGTGTTCTGTCTCAAGCATCAATTCATTGCCCTTCTTTGACATCATTGGATGCTTCCTTCTGCAGGTCTTTTGCCATCTCTTCTCATGTTTAATTTGTCATTCTTATTCACAAGTAAGCTGATTGATATGTCTTGTATATACAGACAATTCATGGATGAATCATTGTCTACAACAGCGGCTTCATGCCCTCATATTGAATCTTTGATCCTGTCATCATGCCTATCCATTGGACCTGTCGGGCTATCTTCTTTGCACTGGCTTCATCATTTGACCCTGCTTGATTTATCTTACACATTTCTGATGAATTTACAACCGGTTTTTGATACTTGTTCACGGTTAGTGGTAAGTTTCTTGGAAATATTTTTTATATGATATCTTAAATTCATTGGTATTTCAATTCAATTTTTAAAATTTACCCTCTCGTGACTTTATTGCATTTAATTTGCATTGTATCGGTTATTGTCTATCATGTGAACCTTGATGTTGGTTAATCTTCAACAACAATTGGCTACTGTTAGGACTAGAATTATTGTGGAGAATGAGGCAGAAACTGTTAATTGTGGAACATTGTAGGCAAGTTAACATTGACTATTACTTTTTAAGCGGACAGAGATGGAATATATCTTGTAGAAACAGTTTACCTTTGCAAATTATAAATTTGTAAGGCTATGTTATCGTATGCTAGGGTTCACGACACATAAGAAAATATAGATAAATGTAGGAAATTTTTTCTTTTCTGTGTGTGTGCATGCACCTTTTTTGTTCTTTTAAACAACTGTTGGGTTCCTTATGACCATCTTTTCTGGGAATAGAGCAGCCAAATAAAGATATTGTTGGAACTTTTACCTTTTACTTATTGCAAAAGTAACTGCACTTGTATCTCTGAAAAATTGCAGCCAGCCCATAGAATTAGCTGAGTTGAAAGCTTCTTAAATATTCAGCAAAATTGGCTTTGTCTATAAATTACAAATGAAAAAAGGTTCTACCAAATAATGTGAAGACCAGAGTAGATCTAGATCCCAATTGACTTCAACCTAGGTCGATACACAAAAAATAAAGCTGCATCAGCATACCTTGAGATCAACTATACTTGAATATTATTACATAATATGCCTTTCTTTATGTAATAAGGCAGATAGTTTTCTGGACCATTTTCGTATCAGCATTATTTGTCACGAAGTTTCAGGGACGTATGGAAAGCAATCTAACTTGGAAATTCTACCTACAGATCTTAAAACTTTCAGCTTGCAAGTTTCTTACAGATTCTTCCCTGTATGCTCTTTATAAAAAAGGCGCACTTCCTACCCTTCGCGAGTTAGACTTGTCATATTCATCTATTGGACAGTCTGCTATAACAGAGCTTCTTGCTTACTGCACAAATTTGGTTCATGTGAACCTGAATGGTTGTGTGAATATGGTTGAACTTGTTTGGCGTTCAAGGCACAATTCATCTAATATGGCAGTTGATACCTTCTCATCCAATTCGATATCAGTTCAAAATGACGGGGAGGGTTTTAAGAAGCCGGAACATTTGCTTGAGTTTCTTAGTTGTACTGGATGCCCAAGAATAAAGAGAGTTTATGTTCCTTCTACAGCTAATTGTTCCCATTTATCTAAAATAAATCTTAACCTATGCACATATTTGAAGGAGGTGGATTTATCATGCACCAACCTCAGCATACTGAATTTGAGGTTAGTGTCCCTTTTCTAAAGGTTTCCTTGTTATTTTTTTAACTTTGTCATTTCCTATCGCTTATGTGGTTAATAAATTTGCTGATTTTCCTGTATTTTAATTATAGTTACTGCAGCTCCTTGGAAATCTTGAAGCTCAATTGTCCAAGGCTAAACAACCTACAGCTTCTGGTAATCTACCTCATGATTATAACATTACCATGAAAAGAATGTGGTTGTTGGCTTTTCAGTGTAGTTTTATTAGGAAAATTCTAGTATCAAAACTTGAATGTAGATGACTGAGAAACACAAACAGCCAAGTCAATCCCCCTCTGTCTACAGACGATTGAATGTTTCTTAATGTCAACTTGAATATCGAGATTACAACCAAATGAAAAAAGGTTGATCATAAAATTCACTGTTAGGGATGTCCAGCATATTGGTATTTTCTGCATTGGTATGTCATGTCCATATTCTGACTAGGTTAAATCGAAAGTAAGACATCCGGTTGGCATGTTTCGTATTATCCTGTACCACCCACCGTTCTTGTGGAAATTATATGATGTGATATGTGACTTGTTCTGTTCTCTGTGTGGCATAATGCAACATGCATATTGCATTCAGGTGCAGATATCAAAAATGTTTTTCAGGCTGATTTAACTGACATTTATTCATTTCTGCCAAAACTTTTTTTTTTCAGGCTTGCAGCATGCTGGTAGAGGAAGAATTAGAAGCTGCTATATCACACTGCAGCATGTTGGAAATCCTCAACATCCACTCCTGCCCAAAGGTGCGGTTGCTTGCTATCTATGAATCTGGTGACAGATTTTATGATGTCGAATAGCATCAGATAAGCATTATATCTGCTTAGGATCAAACCTCACTATTATACAATCTACATTTGTTCTTTTTTATTGGACAGATATACATCGAGGATTTCGAGAGGTTAAGAATTGTCTGTCCGAGTCTCAAACGAATCCATTGCAGCCCATTGATGTAGCACATGTCCCCACTTCAACAGCCAAGTTATATATATATCTACCTTCAGATCCTATTACGCTAAGCGGACTCCTCGTACTTTTTAAGGATTTTGGTGCTCTTTTTGTACAAAAAAACCCAAATTTTCTCCTCCTTCAGGATTGTGGTAATGCACCCGCCGGGGACTGGCGTTGACACATTGAACCAACACGTGCAGCATTTTTGTGTGTTATGTTTTGTTAATATTAATATTTGTGATCGGACGAGCTTGGACTGTGTATGAATTGTTGCCCATTCGGTTTTATTAATGTCGGTTTTGGTATTATATTTGCATCAGCATCAAATTCTTTAGTAGCTTTCCATGATATGTGATGTTTCAAGATGGCTTCTGGATTGTGTGTATTTTATGTTGTTTGGTATTTTGCTATAACAGCTACATTATCTCTTTCCCCCATTTTCCCCATTTGTTTTGTATTGAGTATCATATTCAAGGTGAGTGAACTCTTTAACAAAACTTATCATCATCATCATCATCATCATCGGATCAATATTTAAGATGTTTCAATTTAGTATCATTAGTAGCATTTCTTCTGTTGTTGTCCTTTTGCTTCCTTAAATCCTCATTATGCATATACATATACAGATGTAGCATGATTCGCATGCTCTTCCTCTTGTGAATTGAGGTGGTGCAGTTCGTGATGGATTCAGAAAACAATGGCTGCATCGTTGTCTCACAGACCATGTATTCCATGCATGCAGATCCAAGCATCACGTAGACTGCATCCTCGTCTACGTTCATTAATTGCCAAGAGAAACTATTTGGTATTGCAATTAAACCCTCTTCACGTAATCTTCTCAAAAAATAAAAATAATAATCATAAACCATTTCGGGACCTAAAGTGATTTAGCTGTTGATCCACACACTGACCAGCCGAGCCAGTCGCACAACCAGCGAGTTGCCGCCGCCGCTGCTAACCCTGCTCCGGCGGTCCTCGTTTCTCTCTTCTGCTCCTCCGCCGATAACGCGCCGCCTGCAGAGAGGGTATAAGTCGGACAGCACCGCGAGCCACTCGTCGATGCACGCCCGGAGGTACACATGCCCGCACCGCCAGCTCCTTGCTGCAGGAGCACCTGGCGTTGGCTACCGGGGACCTGTGATGGTGACGGAAAGGTGCATCAGATCAGCGTGGCGGCGCCCCCTATGCGGGCAGCGGTGAAGGGCCACGAGGAGGGAGATGGTGATGGGAAGGAAGATGAAGAAGAGGAAGAAGAAGGCGGCGGACTGGTCGTCGGACTGCGCATCAGAGTCGATCTGGGGCTCGTCTTTTACTAGCCTGGAGAAAGATAGCGACATGGATTCCCGCAGCCCCGTGGCTTCTGGAGGGGACGGTCATGGACATGCATGCACTGATGGATGGAGTCTGCAAAGCGAGCTTAAATAGGTTTGTCTGCTCCTGTGAGATCGAAGAGTTTTGAGTCAGGTGGTGATGAAACCTCAGTCGAAGTCAAAGACGGAGGAGACCCCGACGGAGGGCGGATGTCGCCTCTCCTGTTGGATTTGACGACCAATCATGTGGAACCCGCTGAGAATCAACCAATCACTAAATGACACGTAGTGGAAGGACTGTGTCGGGACGGAACGAGGAACACCGCACGATCCGCCTCATCCTCATTAGACGTGTAGAATCCATTGGGTGGTCTGGATGGAGATTCCGTGTTGGGCTCCAACACGGTTCAGCTTTATCTTCGTGAATTGCGCAGCCAATCTGAAAGTGGGACCCGGGTTTGAACGGGTGAAGTAATTTTTATTGGGATTAGATGTGCATCGTGCCTTCACTTATGCAGAGAATCACAGTGAGTTATCATAGTCTCGATCTTTTAGGATTAAGCACGCCTACAGGGGAGGAAGGGGCGTAAAAGCGATGGAGGGGGACGGCGGAGGCGGCGGGTTGAGGGAGGAGGCGGGGGAGCCGCGGGATGCGCGGGTAGTGAAGGAGCTCCTCCGGTCGATGGGGCTGGGGGAAGGGGAGTACGAGCCACGGGTGGTGCACCAGTTCCTGGAGCTCGCCTACCGCTACGTGGTTGACGTTCTCTCCGACGCTCAGGTGTACGCCGAGCACGCCTCCAAGACTGCCATCGACCCCGACGATGTTCGCCTCGCCATCCAGTCCAAGGTCAACTTCTCCTTCTCCCAGCCCCCGCCCCGCGAGGTACGGTCCCCCCCTTCCCTCCCCTCCCAAACCCCTTAACCCTAATTCCACATCGCCGCTCGATTTCACATCGAACCCTCGCTCTCTCGACGATTGGAACGTTTTCTGGGCTTCTTCGAAGCGATTGTTCTGTAAAATGTTTCGGCTTTCTGGTTCTGAGTCTCGGAGAACGAGTAATTTCTAGGGTTCTCTTCTTTCATGAGTAAATTGGTTCAAGATAGCATCTTGTAGAATATGCAAGCAGTAATCATGTGTTGCATCAACGAATTGTAGGTGTTACTTGAGCTGGCGAGGAGGAGAAACAAGATCCCGTTGCCCAAGACAATCGCACCGCCAGGGAGCATACCCTTGCCACCGGAGCAGGACACTCTCATCAGCCCCAATTACCAGCTACTGATACCGAGGAAGCAGCCTCCTCAGGTTGAAGAAACAGAGGAAGATGTCAACGGTTCTAATGTAAACCCTACCTTAGTTGCCAATTCGTCACAAGAGCAGCAAACCCTACAGAGAGTGTCCTTCCCTCTGTCTTCAGCAGCAAAACGACCAAGGTGATGACGACTTGACAGTTCCAAACCTTCAGGCACTGAAGCTGTGATGAAATCTGTATCTCAATTAGACAGGTCTAAAAACCTACGATTGTTCTGTGTAACTTGTCATGTTGGACCATATGAACTTGTTATTATCAATTCAAACTAGTACGAGGAAGAAGACAGATTCTTGTGGTCTCATGTCTGGGTTGTCTAAAGGAACAAATAATATGATTATTCCATCTTAATCAAGAAGGCCATTTGGTGCATGGTTCATCACCTTCACCTCAGAGACATTTAACCTATGGTGTATGTATGAATTCACTCCACAAGCAAGATATGGATGCTCCTGCAGCATGCATATATCAATGGAGTCAATTACCAGAAATCACACAACACAGTCTTTTCCTGTTTTCACTCAGATGGAAATGCAGAGAAAAAAAAGGCTTAAAAGTCATGCAGACATGCTGCAGATTTCTTTTCCTTTTTCACATTTGTTTTTCCTGTCTGTGAACTAGTTACAATGTACAAGATCATCGAGGAGCCGATCTTTTTTTCTGGCTACAATTGGATCTAAGCTCCTGCTCACAATGGTCTGTGAACAAACTTTCCTATACACACCAATAACTACAGATATGGATTAGCTTATTCTGCTTGGTAAGCCTGAGTCAGCAAATGAATGATACACTACATTTTCCCTGATCCGAAAGGAGTATGGCGGCAAGTGTTTTTTGTTTTTTTGTATTTTTTTCTGAGAAGAATGGCTACTGTTAGTACAGAGACAGATCAGCTTCTCTGGTTGCCCTGACCGAAACAGTCAGTCTTGGTCATACATGCGCTGCATTTCCTCCCTATACTCCGTCAATGATCTGTCTGAAATGGCTGGCGTTAGCTCCACCAGATCGCCCATCCGCAGCTTCTGGTTAGGGTCATTGACGGGCTGATTGTTCAACCTTGGCCTCAGCTCTTCTTTCACTGTGAAGCCATACCCCGGACACCGAGCACTCCCTCGCCCAACTCTCTCCAGGAGATCCATCACCGTTGAATCTGTCGGCAACTCCTGTATGGTCATCTGGAATCACAAGCTATCACATTAGAGGAATCACAAGCTATCACATTAGAGGGATGAGTAGACCATTTAAAGAACAGCAGATGATGCTCGTGAATACCAAAAATCACAAATATGAAGAATGATACATTTATCACCTGTGAGTTCACAAGCAGCTCACCTTCTCATTTTCGAGTATGATGATGAAAATGGGTCCGGTATAGTCACATTGTTGACTGTAGAAGTAGGGACAGCTATCAGAGTGAGAAGGAAATGGGCATGGAGGCCTGATTGAATCATCGTCACCGAATGACGACGGACGGTCTATGTTCAAAGCCTCACATTGCCACGACACAACCCATCTAGCCCATTCTACTATTTGAAGAACAAACGAAGAATGCTGATGATCACCTTCCTTGTATCTCCAGCGGGCAGCAATTCCAAATTCTGCCTGCAGATGCATTGCTTTAGTTCGAATCTGAACCTCCAAAGGACACATGTCTTGACTTAGAACAACAGTGTGAAGAGATCGGTACCTGCATTATGAAACTCAGAAAGAGCCCAAAAGATTGGGAAAGAAAAAGGAAAAAAAGATGGCCAAGTTTCACCATCTACATACCCATTGTGCTTGGGATGCGCTATGTAGTCTTTGAAACTCCCCGGAGCTTCAGGCCACAAGTCATGTACAATACCTAAGGCTGTATAACAATCTTCCTCATTCTCGACTATCAGACGTAGCCCATGTTTGTCATGAATCTCATCCATCGTTTGATTCTTCCTATGGATAGGTTACATAAGCATCAATGAAAAAAAATTCCACCTATATTTACCATAGACAATACCAAAAGATCATTCTTTTCTTTTACCAAGTAATACAAAATTGCGATCTTGAAATCTTAGTTCTACAGGATCTACTTCAGGACTTATTCTGCTAATAAACCACTTCAGATAAGCTACTTAGATATTTAGTATTTTTATGTATCATGCCCTTACAAGCAAAACTGAAGCACATCAACTCATATATGGAGGAAGACAACTTACTTTAGCATTTTGGAGTAAATACCGTACAAACTCTTGCATCTCCCTGACAGAAATTGATAAGAAATGCCTCTATCCTTCAGGGCTTTCTCTAGTGTTTTTATGGCAGATGAAATCATGGCTTCATCAAAGGACTTGAGAAGTTTGAGTGATAACTTTTTGTACTGCTCTGGATATAGATGCTTGAAGCACAAATTTTCAAGTTGCTCCTTCCAACTTGAGATTCCCAACCTGTTGGCCAAGGGCACAAAAATCACCAATGTTTCCTTTGCAAATCTCTGTTGTTTAACCATTGGCAAAGCATCCAATGTCATCATGTTGTGTAATCTATCAGCCAGCTTTATAAGAACTGCCCTAGCATCCGTCATTGCAAGGAACATTGTCTGTAGTCTGTCAGCTTCAACAGTTCGATTCGCCGTGTTGTTCAGACGAGCAAGTTTACTCAAGTGGCTTAACTTTGAGACCTGAAAACATGATCAGACAGCATTTAGAACTCACCTTC